CTAGTTTGGTTAACTCAGGCAAAGAAACAGGAGCAAAGCTATCTAGGATGATGGGCCTGTTTGGAGTCAGGAGAGGCGGCGATAAGGCTGAAGGAGAGATGCTAGATCTAACCTTATTGACTTTGTCCACAAAGAAAGACAGAAAGTTCTCACAGTCTGCAACAGAGTGGATGGAGGCTGTAGGAGAGGCAGGAGAGACGATGCTGCTGATGGTGTTAAACAGCACCTTGGGGTTCCCTTTGCTCTGGGACACCAGGTTGGAGAAATAGGAAACCCTAGCGTCTCTGACTGCAGAGTTAAAGGATGTCAGAAGATCCTTTAGGTGCAGCAGATGGACGTGGAGATGGGTTTTCTTCCATAAACGCTCATTTTTTCTGCATTGGCGCTTCAGGCTGCGAAGGCTGTCATTAAACCAGGGAGTAGGGTTCACTGCAGGAACTGATCTGGTTCTGACAGGACAGATGTTGTCCAGAATGGAGAGGCAGTGCTCGTTGAACTGAGAAGTTAAGGAATCTGGGTCGTTATCAGAACAGGACGGATCAGAAGCAGCAGAAAAATTGCTAGCTGTGCTCTCATTAAGAAAACGAGAACTAACCATACTGCGAGCAGGAGGTGGGGACGCAGAAACGGACAAGTTAAAGAAAATGCAATGGTGATCTGAACTTTAAACGTCCTCAGGACAAACACTGTCAGCATTTAGACTCAGGGTAAAAACAAGGTCTAGAGTGTGCCCCCTGGTGTGTGTGGGGCCAGAAACATGCTGGGTAAAGCCGGAGGAGTCCATGAGGCTTGAGAAATTCATGGCAAAGTTATCAGAGGGATCATCAATGTGGATGTTAAAGTCACCAACAATCACCAGTCTGGACAACTTCACAGTGGATGATATAACGTCACTAAACTCCTGAAGGAAAGAACTGTTTGGACCAGGTGGACGATAAACCAGAGCACAGTAGAACGGGTCTTTACGCCCGACTTTAATCAGCTGCAGTTCAAAGGAAGCAAAGTGACCAGAGGTTGTAGAGCTACATGGAAGATGGTCTCTGAAAACAACAGCTAGGCCTCCACCACGACCAGAACCCCGAGGCTGGCTAAGAAAAGAATAACCACTCAGGCAGAGTTCAATCAGACCAGAATAATCAGATGTTTGCTGCCAAACTTCAGTCAGAAACAGAAAATCCAGGTTTTTAGAGAGAATTATATCATTGAGCAGGAAGGTCTTATTGTTAACAGAGCGGGAATTTAATAGAGCCATGCTGAGTGAGGTGGAGGAATCAGAAACTACACAAACAGCTGGAGTTAGTGGACGTAAATTAGTAGGGTTACATCCACAGTGTTTATAAAAACCACTTATGGAGGGAACAGGAGGAGAAAACACTGAAGAATAAGGATAAACCGACCTTAAAAAACTTGGACAGATGAACCGCGTCGCAACGCGGCCTAGCGGCAATGCGGAAGTGGCGCTCAGGTCACCAAACAAAGGACAAGAAGCTAGAAGATCACGCTGATGTTTACCAGATAAACCACGCTTTAAGAGAAGTCGTATTCTCACCTGGATTCCTGCTCATTTACCTCTTTTCCTCCGACGTTTTCCCGGGACCGGACAAACATCGCTAGAGGTGCGCAGCTCTGGATCGTCGATTGCTTCCGGGCCGGTGCGCCGCTCAGGTAAACAAACAGGATGGTAAATCCTCGGTGCATCTTGGGCGATCGTGAACCAACGGAAGGACAAAAGAGTCTGGCGATCATAAGAGATGGTAGCAGGGACACCACTGAAGAAGATCGCAGACAGGAGCAAGGTAGAAAAGAGGAGGTTAGTGGAGACAGGTGGCAGGTGGTGGTGCCAATGTCACTGAGGCCTGCCGTACTGGAAGCCTGCCATGGAAGCAGTGGCTCTGGCATTAACGCCGCCTGCATCAGGGTTACTACTGGGGCCATCAGCGGAGGGATTTGGAGGATTTCTGCCGCAGTTGTGATGCATGCTCCTCCCACAAGGGGCCATCTGACCAGTCTCATGCCCAGTTGCAGCAACAACCTGCAAGAGCACCAATGGAATGAGTGGCGGTGGACATTATGGGCCAATTTCCTCAGAGAGAGGAAACCGTTATGTCCTCGTGGCCATGGATTATTTTACCAAGTGGCCAGAGGCATATGCCATCCCAGATCAGGAGGCAGAGACGGTGGCTGACACAGTCCTGGAGGGGATGTTCATCCGATTTGGAGCAGCTGAGATCCTGCATAGTGACCAAGGCCATAACTTTGAATCCAGGGTGTTTGCTGCCATGTGTAAACGGCTGCAAATGAAGAAGACCCGCACCACACCACTCCACTCTCAGAGCGACGGCCTGGTGGAAAGATTTAACAGAACTCTGGCACAGCAGCTGGCTATACTCACCTCAGAAAACCAGCAGCACTGGGACGAACATCTCCCTCTCATTCTCATGGTCAGCAGTTCAAGACTCCACCCTGTGCACACCTGCACTTCTCATGTTAGGGATAGAGCTGAGAACCCCTGCTGAGCTGGCATTCGGGAAACCTCCCAATGCGCCAGATGCGCCACCAGGCCCGGATTATGCAAGTAAGCTACAGGACCGTCTGGATTCTGCACATTCCTACGCCCGGGAACAGCTGCCAAAGGCTGGACTGCACCAAAAGAGGAATTATGATGCCACTTCAAAAAGGAGGAACTTACATGCTGGAGAGCTGGTGTGGGTCCCCAGTCCAAAGAGAAAAAAGGGCGATGCCCCAAACTGGATAGCAGCTGGGATGGGCCCTGCAACATACTTGAACGGGTTGGAGAAGTGGTTTACAGGGTTCAGCTGCACCCTACGGGGAGGAAAGTGGTCTTGCACATGGATAGGCTGTTCCCCCTTTTCTGGAAGGATCTGAGCGGAGCCCCCATACCTCTGCACCTGTGCAGCAGAAGCTGGCCACCTCTCCCCATAGCCCTTCTCCTTGAACCCCAATGGGTTCTTTGTCCCCCCCAGAGACTGAAGAGGCATCGCAGACTGCCTCCCCGCCTCAGGGACTGTGTTATTCCCTCGAGGACGAGGAACTTATTCTTGGGGGTCAGTGTAATGATCCATAGGGGGTCATTTTTATACTGGTGCTATCTCTTTAAGAGACGGGCGCTTGTGTTGTCAAAAGAGAGCTAGTGTGGGTGGGACTAAGAGAGGATGTTCGGGTGTTTTTGTTTTTGCTGTTGTCGGCTGAAGAAGTTCATGAGCAGAGAGGAATGGTTCTTTTCTTGTAACTCAAGCCATTTTTCTAACAAGCTAGTAAATTCCTGTTCGGAACAAAACGTCTGGTGATTTGGTGTCAACGTTACAATATATTCCATACAATTCAGATCACCTTCAAAACCCCGTCCTACCCAGCCTGCACACTGGAGTCTGATGAGTTTAATAAACCAACACATTCTCACACCCAAAGCGTCAAAATATGACGCGTGTGACCAAACCTCAATATGTGACGATTCGGGACGCCCCAGCGCGTCAGGAGACGACGAGCAGGGACACGTGGCTCTGCTGGCGTCAGTGTCTGATGCCCGCGGTCACACGGACATTATTCGACTATTCAACCTTCCCCTCACCCCAATCCTAACCTTAAGGTCCATTAACTGTGACCTTAAGGTTAGGAATGGGGTGAGGGGAAGGTTAAGTAGTTCACAAGTCGTTCTAATGTCCGTCTCATTACCGGCGTCGGATACCGACGCTCTGGGACGGTGCGCCATCAGTGTTTCCCTGATCGTCGTCTCCTGATGCGCTGGGGCGTCCCGAATCGTCATATATTGAGGCTTGGTCACACGCGTCATATTTTGATGCTTTGGGTGTGAGAATGCATTGAATAAACATCTCTCTAGTTTATAAACAAACAACAAATTATTTTACAACCCAGACTTCTCAGGTACAAAGAACGGTTTTGCTACAACATCTAGCTTCCATCACACATCTCATTATTCATATCTTGTCATGTATAATCATCAGTTTAAGAAAAAGAATTAAATTCATTTTATAAACAATATACGGACTCTGTCTGAATGAATACAAAGTGTGTTTATGTTCCCTAAAGAAGCAATGAGCCCTAGAATCTTCTGTTTAAACACTCAAAGATCAATTAGGTCGACATTTCTTATTTATGTGGAATCATCACATCTTATTGGTCATCTTCCATAAAGTGTAAATTGTAAGTTCTCTACAGTTGTGTGTTCCTTTGTTTGTTTTTCTCTTTCTGCAGGTCTAGAAGCAGACTCTTGTTCATTGTTGATTGTTTATGTTTGTGGACCCCCCCCCCCCCCCCCCCCCCCCCCCCCCCACACACACACACACACACACCACCACCTCTGTGTCCGGTCAGAAAAAACATCCAAATAACAATAAAGTTTTAAGTATCAGGCGTGACATTAAAGGCTCCACCTGACAGTAAATCTGTAAGACTTGTCACCAGCATTCAGACATCGATTCTGTTTGCTTCACAGCCAGACAGGACATGGTTAAAAAAAAGAAGGGCCAACACTGCAAATACTGACTCTTTGCATAAATGTCATGTAACTGTTGATGAAAGTCTTTGAAACATATGAAGTGCTTGTAATCATGTTTCAGTACATCACAGAAACACCTGAAACAAAGATCTAAAAACAGTTTAGCAGCAAACTTTGTGAAAACTAATATCTGTGCCATTCTTAAACTTTTGGCCACGACTGTACACGGACTTCTGATCTTTTGTGAATGATGACAGTTTGAATCTACTGATGAATATCAGTGAGATGGTTTATGTCATCATTTAACACCCCTTTGATTCACTGCACAGATATACTACGCATGTAGTATAAAATCTGCCCGTTTCTGTAGCATGACTAATAGTTTTGTAATAGGTATGATTATTGTTTTACTGCCGGTGTTTGACTAGTTGATGCATCTTTAATGAAGCAGGCATGCATGCAGTGCCCAGAAATAAGAATCTGTAACAGGAAATATAAATAAAAACACAATAAGACATTTGAGTAGGTTGTATTAAATCATTTTATTTCAGTTTCCCATATTTAAAAGCAGCAGAACGACGCCTCTCCTCTTATTGCACCTTCTTAAAGACTTGATGACAGAGTTTGCCAGCAACTGTGATTTCCTGAAAGACGAGGCAGAGACCTTCAGACTCGGAGCAACATGATGCAACACTTTCTATTAGTTATCTATCAGTTACACAACAGGTGTGAGGCTGGGCTGTTCCTGCCAACAGATAAGAGAAAACTGCACGATGTTCCTCAGCCTGACGACTTAACTCATCATTCTTCTAGTTTATGGCGTGAAAAGTCACATTTACAGAAGTAAACATGCAGGTAAACCTAGTGTGAAAATGTGAGGCGTGATGCTGTCCTCACCAGGTGCAGCAGGTCTCCCTCGAGCCATTGTTTCCAGCCACGGTTTTCTTTCTCCCCCTTCTGGATGCACACCAGCTTGTCCCCATCCCAGGTGACCAGTGTCTGACAGAAAACAACAGAGACGCTGCAAACACACCAGGACCCTCTCAGAAAACTCCTGCTAGACTTTTAAAAATGAATACTACCATAACTTTCCGGTTGTCAAGGCCCTTCGTGTGTTCCTCAAACTCCACACCCACAGTGAAGTTGACTTCGTAGTTCCTAAAGGTGCTCAGAGTCTTCGTCTCGAATGTGTCTCCATTCTGGACGATGACTTTGGTCTGATGCAGGTGGGAAGCTATCTTTCTGGTGGCAAAATCAATGTCTGTAGTCAAAGATAAATAATAATAATGAATGGATTTGTGGAATTCTACCAGGAATTTTTAAATCAGCTTCCTGCTCACTGGTCACCGTGAAAGTCTCAGAGAACCGTTAGATTTAACTTCTATCAAGTCAGATGGAGATCTTCCTGCTCCTTAAATATTCATATCCTATTTCCCCCAAAGTGAGACTTCAGATTGCATCACCCTGACAGACGAAGCCCATCTGAAGGGCTGAATGGAAATGAGTCACAGGTGCTGAGGATTCCTCAGGTGGTCTTGTGAGCTGAGCTTACCTCGGCTCGTTTCTATGAATTACAGATAGAGTAGTGAATACTGAAAGTGACCCTGATCACCACTGAAGCTACCCCAACGCCCGTTTCAGGGTCAGGTTCTGTTTTTCATCCCTGCTGATCACGAGGATGAAAATGCAGAAAGGACTGAATCAATACGTATTTGGCACAACGACAGACGGCAGGTGAGCTTCTCCTGACGGCAGTTTGGTGAAGAAATGAAGCTGCGACAGGCGGCTCCCTTTTTTCCTTCCATCTTTATCTTCCTGTCTGTCACACAGATTTTCCTCTCAAGAGCTTCCTCCTTATCAGCAGCACTTTAGAAGTCCCTCCTGCACCACCTGCCCCCCTCTTTCCTTTTGAGTGATGTTACATCTCTTACAGTAGGAAGAAACTCACCAAGCGCCTTCATGACTTCCTCAAAATTCTCATTGCTGACCATCTCCCAGCGTCCGTTGTAGTCTGCAGGCATTTTCTCCAGAGTGTGAGAGGAGGCAGCGGCTCGGATGTTTTCTGAGGAAAGGAGAGCGCTCAAGGCCCAACCCTTCATATATATACTACGTGTGAGCGTGCATGTGTGTGTGTGTGTGTGTGCTCGTGTCAGGACAGGGTTCACCTGATAATCCCTCCAGGGTTTGTGTGGATGTGATATCTAGTTCATCTTTTTCTCGGTGCTTTGTGAAAACTGCATAAACGACAGCAGGTCCAGAAAAACGACCCTCAGCTGTTCTTTCACACGTCCCTCTGGCCTCTGCATTAGGATAATGCTCTTTGAGATTCTCCAACGGTGATTTGAATGTCCATTTGCTCCCATCAGGCCAGCTCCTCCGGTTACTCCGTGTAATGGGCTGGGATGGAGGGAAGGTGGAGACAAGCCCAGCAGAGATGCTCACAGACCAGCAGAAGCTTCGTCTCAAGCACTTTAATGGGCTTGTTTTGTTTTTAAAAAGTGAATTTTCTGTTAAAGTGATGTGAAAGATTATTTACTTTTTACAGATTTCTTCTTTTTTGTTACTTTAATGATTCAGATTGAGTGAATTTCAGTTTTAAAGAAAATCTGAGTAAATAACAAAATGTAGTTTACAAATGGTTCCTCCAGATGGACCGGGATGCACACCTTCCAGATGTTCTGCTCTGGTCTCATCAGTCCAGAGGAGATTTACCCACAGGGGTCATCAGGGTGGTTTTGGTAAAAATGAAACAAGAGCTTGGATCTACTTGGAGCGGCTGAAGAAGCTCCAGGTTGTCACAGAACTGTTGATGCAAGTTTGACTTATTCTTCATTCAGAATCATTTCCTGTGCTTTAGTCTGGAGCTGGAGCTTCATCAGCTTCACATTGTGAGCAAGTCCTTATGAAATATTTATGACACAATTGTGTGCTTTGTATCTCAGAGCTTATTAACATAACCTCCTTACTTGGTTGTTATCAAGGTCGGACTGTCAGCAGCAGGCACGCTTTATCAGATCAGAGTTGGCTGGAGCTGGCAGCTGATGCATCATCTCCCTCTGTTCTTATCTCAGACACTTCAACACAAATCTAGCGTGAGTAAAGTTTGAGCTCTGATCTCTTTCATGAGCCTAAAATGTCTGCTGTGGTGAGATGGTTTTACTACCACAATATCAAAGTGTGACAGCTGGAGGGGTCAAAGGTCAAGTAGGATATGTGCCATGGTTTATCAGAAATGATAAGATGCCTGAAACTACATTTGAGTTTGCACCCAGTTTATTTGGTGTTGAACAGTTTGCTCGTCCAGTTAGCTTAGCCTCAGCACGGCTATGGCTACTTATGTCTCCTATCTCTTGCTCTCTGTGTCAGATGTTTAGTTACTCCTCTGCCTCCTTTAGCGATAATGGTACGTGTAATAAATGTAGCATTTTTGTAGCTTTGGAGGCGAGGGTGTCGGAAATGGAGTCCCGGCTCTGCGCAGTTGAAAAGCCCGTAGACAGCCGTAGCTAATTAGCTAGCCGTAACTACTTAGCTAGTGCAGGGCTAACTAGATCAGAACCATCCCGTAGCGGTCCTCCAGTAGAACCCGAGCAGCCGGGACCTCAGGCCGGCGGGGACGCACCCACTGACAAGCCGACTCTGATCATTGGCAGCTCTGTGGTCAGAAACGTGGCATTAGAGGCTCCAGCAACCATAGTTAAATGTTTACCTGGGGCCAGAGCGGGCAACATTAAATCTTACCTGAAACTGCTGGCTAAGGATAAGCGTAAATACAGTAAGATTGTTATTCACGCTGGCGGTAACGAAACCCGGTTACGCCAATCGGAGGTCACTAAAATTAATGTTGCTTCGGTGTGTAAGTTTGCCAAAACAATGTCGGACTCCGTAATTTTCTCTGGCCCCCTGCCCGATCGGACCAGTGACAACATGTTTAGCCGCATGCTGTCCTTTAACCGTTGGCTGTCTAGGTGGTGTCCTGAAAACAACGTGAGCATCGCAGCAGCTACAGTCTGCCAGTTCAGAGCAATTTGTTGACTGTACCAATGTGAGGATTAGTGGAGGGGGAGTCATAATCTTTGAATGAAAAAAGCACATTGTTTAGCGGTTGTGCCCTGCTTTCATTGGACAATACTATTTAACTGTTAAATATGTTTATATGCTAATTATTAGGAGGGGGGATTTTATGCCAGAGGGGGACATGTCCCCCCGTGATTTTCGCCTATGGAGTTTAGTAATAAACTCTAGGACTCAGTTGGTTTTACCCAGAGCTACAGAGAGAGAGAGTTACGACACTCCAATAGACTTGTAGGAGGGTAAGTATGTTGCTTTTAAGCTTAATATATGACCTTTACTTATGATCAATAAGCTGTGATATTCTATTTAAATATAGAGCATCACTCTGCTTGGTCTTTGGATGTTTCATCAGAAGATTTTAGGATTCTTTGCTTTTTCAGGGATCAAACACACTTCATCTCAATTCAGACAGAGTCAGATTTATAAAGATAAGACATTTATTTTCTACACAATTAAAAACATGACAAGTTAACCAAGGCTACTGTGATGGATGAATCTAAGTGGATGGGATGTGATGTATGGTGATTGAATGGTGTGTGTTTATTAGAACCTTGTATCTAGAAGAACTGAGTTCTGGGTGTGAAAAAGAATTTGGTTTGCATTAAACTATGAAGTTGGTTCTTCTCAAAACGGCATCAGACGCAATCATGTGTGTCTACCTCACCCTTTTGGAGACCCTCTTTGTGGATCCAGAGGACAGGGTGGTCAGATGACCTCTGGGCACCGAGGATGAGTAGATTAACCGCACCACCGACGCTCCAGTCCAGAGATGTCGCCGGGCACAACAGGTTGGAACTGGTTCCAGTTTTTGTAACTTATGACTGTTGCTATAAAGTTCATAGAAATGTATGCAAGATGATATATAAAACAATTAGAACAGAAAAGTCAATGCAGTGTCTCAAAAATGAGTTAATAAAACAAGATTGGACTATTGTATATAAACATAAGGATGTCAATAAAGCCTATGAGGCATTCTTAAGTATATTCATGGCCTTATTAGAGAAAAATAGCCTACTTATTGAAGTCAACAGGAAAGAGAAATATACAGGAAGGCCATGGATGACGAAGGGACTGCAAAATGCCTCTAAAAAAAGAACACCTTATATAGAGAATTCATTAAAAAGAGAACTACAGAATCCGAAATGAAATATAAAAAGTATAAAAATAAATTAATTAACATAATGAGAACTTGTAAAAAAGAATACTTCATCAAAAAGTTAGAAGATGATAAAGATAGCATGAAAGGGATATGGAATGTATTAAATAGTATGATAAAAAATGCACCAAGGACTAATGACTACCCTGGGTATTTTATGGAAGGGACAAATACTATTAGTAAAATGAACGAAGTAGTAGATGGATTTAATGATTTTTTTGTACATATAGGGCCAAAACTAGCTGCGGAAATAAAGGTTGATATGACAGAATGGGAGACTGGAGGAAACATTGAAAGGAATCCAAGTTCAATGTTTTTAAGAGCAGTGGAAGAGAAGGAGATATATGATATTGTCAGTGGACTTAAGAACAAAACAAGTACTGACTTCCATGATATTGATATGGTAACAGTAAAGAGAGTAATTGATGGTATTGAAAAACCGCTACAAAATATTTTTAATTTGTCTTTCCAGGAAGGGGTTTTTCCACAAAAAATGAAAGTAGCATAAATTATCCCCATTTATAAATCAGGTGAAAAGCATTGTTTTACAAATTATAGACCAGTGTCGGTACTCTGCCAGTTTTCTAAGATACTGGAAAAACTATTTCTAAAAAGACTTAATAACTTTGTGGAAAAACATGATCTGTTGGCAAATTGCCAGTATGGGTTTAGAAATAACAGATCAACAGTTTTGGCATTGATGGATTTAATGGAAGAAATAACGGAATGTATGGATAACAAGAAGTATGCACTTGGAGTTTTTCTAGATCTAAAAAAAGTATTTGATACTGTTGACCACAAAATTTTAATAATCAAACTGGAGAAATATGGGTTTAGGGGTGTGGTATTGGATTGGATAAAAAGCTATGTGATGAATCGACAGCAATATGTACAAATAAATGAGTTTAAATCTAAATTGATGGATATAGAGTGTGGAGTACCTCAAGGATCAGTATTGGGACCAAAATTGTTTATAATGTATATAAATGATATTTGTAAAGTATTGAAGATCCTAAAGTTTGTAATTTTTGCAGATGATGCCAATATACTTTGTTCAAGTGGGGAGTTTCAACAGGTTGTGGAGGTGATCACACAGGAGTTAAAGATATTAAAGACGTGGTTTGATAGAAACAAATTGTCCTTAAATTTAAATAAAACAAAATTTATGTTATTCGGAAACCATAAGAAAAATATTTACATTGAAATTTGTGTTGATAATGTATATCTAGAAAGGGTTAATACCATAAAATTTCTTGGTGTGATCATTGATCATAAGGCCTGTTGGAAATCACACATCACTTATGTGAGGGGAAAGTTAGCACGGGGCGTTGCTGTCTCGGGGAAAGTAAAACATTTTCTGGATAGGAAAACATTATATATGTTATATTGTGCTTTACTATTACCATACATGAGTTATTGTGTAGAGGTTTGGGGAAACACATACAAAAGTAACATTCAGACCATAATCATAATGCAGAAAAGGGCTGTTACACTAATAAATCAGGAGGGGAATAGGGCTCACACAAACACACTCTTTATTAAGACGCAAGCTTTAAAATTCCAGGACCTGGTCAAGTTTAAAACAGCGCAAATAATATATAAGGCTAGGAAAGGGATGCTCCCAATTGAAATAAGTAAACGGTTCTTAGAAAGAGAAGGGAGGTATAATTTTAGAGGGAAGTGGAGTTTAAAAGTACAAAGAGTAAGAACAACATTGAAAAGGATGTCTATCTCAATAGCGGGCGTTAAATTCTGGAATGAGTTAACAGAAGAAATAAAGGTCAGTAGTAATATAAACCAGTTCAAAATAAAACTCAAAAAGGAAATGTTAAATAAGTATAAGAATGAAGAAAATGCAATTAACCCAGGACGGCATGCA